ATGTGTGTGTGTGTGTGTATACATGTACAGTATCTCAATGTACAGAAACTCTAGGTGGCCTCTATAAAACGACTGTTGGTTGGCTGATTGATTTGGATAAATGCTCTTTCATGCCTGCAGCTCAACTGTTGTTTGGATGTGTGCTGTGAAAACAGGATTTAATCCACTGCATTCAGCGTTTTTAACACCAACTCAATATTGCAAGTACTCAAATGAATTAAGAAGCCTAAATTGTGACTCTGTAATTAGCAATAATCTAATTGCATAGTTTCAGTTTGGTGTCTTGTCAGCCTGATTTGTAGTTGCTGTCGCAGGTTAGTCTCTTACTGTACTTGCAAAGCTCCCCATGAATCCAGAAAGACATTAAATTAGTCCCTCCACTCATTCATCAATTCATTTACTCATTTGCAGCTCCCCTATTGGCCCTTTCAGATGACGTCAGAGTGACAGTGACACAGAATCAGGATTGCTTATTTGTAAGCATTCTGTGAGACTGGTTTTCCTTCGAGTATCTCTGTGGAGAACTCCTCGGATGCAACAATGGCCGTCTGAAACGGGTGGAAGCAACACTCCACCTCCTTTTCTCTTTTGCTTGGTTCTCACTTTCCTTTTCATTTTGTCCATTGTTTTATTGTTCTGTCACTTTGTCCTTGTCAGTTTCTGGTGCTGGTGAGAAACAGTCTGTCCTCACAATCCCTCTTACCTCCTCTGAGCTGAGACTGAAGGCTGTATATCTCTCAGAATGGTTGCTGAGGCAGATGCGGCGTCTCAGGGCAGCGGTATGCGGCTGAAACAGGAGATTTCCCTTCTCCATGGGGTCTGTCTCATTGTGGGGAATATGATTGGTTCTGGCATCTTTATTGCACCTAAGGTAAGAGTCTCAGCTTTGTCAGGTCAGTGAAACCTGATGTTTTTTTAAATGGAAAAAATGGAAATTGTTTTTCTTTTCAGTTTTAATTGTAAAATGCATAGTATCCAAACTACATCAGAATTAACAATTTATGTAGTTGTTGTTATCCTGTTCAGTGTTCACTCTTGGATGATCATGTAAGTTTTTAGGGTTGTGTTACAGTAGTTCACTGGTCTTTGTGCTGCTGTTTGTTTGCACCAGAGCTGAAGTTACAGATCTCATACCGCCCTAGACAAACTTGAACTGACGTGCAAATGCACTAGAGTTAATTTCAACCACACCTGCCAATAAAAATGTATGAAAGGTAAATCATAATGCAGTGTACTCTCTACTCTCTTTTGTTATCCTGCAGGGGGTTCTTATGTACACAGGCTCATTTGGCCTGTCCCTGGTAGTGTGGGCCATTGGAGGGATATTTTCTGTGTTTGGAGCACTGTGCTATGCTGAACTGGGCACCACCATCCGAAAATCTGGAGCCTCCTATGCCTATATCCTGGAAGCCTTTGGAGGCTTCTTGGCTTTTATTCGGTATATTGTACTGTGTTTTTTCATAGACTTGAAAGAATTTAAAGCGATTTCCTTTATTGATAGTTGTCCACCTTAACATTTAATAACCTGCTGTTTCTATAATAAAACCATTTGAACTATTGACATGATTTGTTTGCTACAAATTCACAATGCACACCTTCCAGACTTCACCGGTAGGGGTAACGATCCATCGATCAAACACCCCACGATCTGTTGACAATGAAACGCAAACATCGATGTTTTGTGTGCTTTTATTTTGACGACCAGCCACAGGCGTACACATTTCTGTTCTCTTCAGGCTGGACAACAAACACCAGGCGGTGCATCTAGCATTCTGAGACTGGGAATTCACACTAAATGTGAGACATGAGCAGCGCATAAGCTAAGTGATGGGTTTGATCCATTCAGTCCACACCGGCTCCGACCTCCGTGCAGCATCGCTGTCATCAGAAGAGCTGTCTGTCAGCAGGACAGTGACCAGACAGTCTGTGGACATTATGCTTTGTTAAACGCTCCAGAGAGAAGAAAGACTTGAAGTGTAAAAAAAAAAAAATGCACTGGGTCCACTGTTGGTGCATTTCAGTTAATAAAAATGTGTGAAATAGGCACATGATATCGATCGCAGGCCCCTGAATTGGATCAAATCGCACCGTGGCATATATTTCAAGTATCAGCAAACATCAGATCAAGAGAATGAATATAGGAGCATATCTTGATGAGACGGGTGATTTATACCACTATTCACCCGGCTTCCAGCCTTGACATCCCTAGTTGGGGGCGACTGTGGTTCAGTGGGTAGAGCGGTCATCTCCCAACCGTAGGGTTGCGGGTTCGATTCACGGTGCCTGCGGACCACATGTCGACGTGTCCTTGGGCAAGACTCTGAACCCCCACGTTGCCCCCAGTGGTTAAGAGCCATCAGTGTGAGTTGGCGCTGCAGATGGCTGCCTCAGTTCTGTACCAGAAACAAATTTCTTTTGTGTAACATACTTGGCCAATAAAGGTGATTATTATTATTATTATAGTTGGGACCTTGTGAAACTTGCCACCTTTGTATTGTCTTATGCCCCTCGATGCAGTCCACTAACATCAGAATGCAGTGGTTGAATGAATTCCAGTCATTTAGTACTCAAGCATGTTCTGCTATTGTTATGTAACTAAATGACAGATGCTCATCATTAACTTTGCAGACTGTGGACATCATTGCTGATAGTGGAGCCAGCCTGTCAGGCAGTGATAGCCCTGACCTTCTCCAGCTACCTGGTCCAGCCCTTCTTCCCCACCTGTTTCGCCCCTTATGACAGCGTCCGCCTCATTGCTGCTGCCATCATATGTAAGGTTCTTGTACTAAGCCTGCAGATATGTTCTACCTAACCCATTGCATATGCTTATGTGAGTGGTGGAATGACACAGTTGAGCTGGGTGGGTGTGTGTTTGACAGCTCCTGTAGGTCTTCCAGTATCCGTAGTTTTGCAGTGGAGCTGTTGTGGCAGGTACTTGTGCACAGCTCTGTTCACAGTGATGTTTCCTTTAAGAGGAGGTTTTCACTAAAATGTTTTAATTTACCTCCTGTGCAAAACTTGTCGTGCCAGTTGCACACTTTGAAGAGGGCGTAGGAGAAGCTGAAAAGGAATGCTGCCTGACGAGTATTGTAAGAAAAGGCTGTTTTATAAGGGTCTCTGCTGCAGGCTGCATTAGATAGCGCATGTTTGTTGTGAGCAAAACATAGCTGCCTAATCTAGATTTGTTCACATTGGCCTTAGAAGGATATAGTATCTATCTACTGTACACTGTACTTTTTTACCCCTCAATCCTGACATAAGACTACGGTGCTTAGTAAATGACAGCCCTCTAGGTCTTTGTGATGCTGCTCCAATAGCTAAAGAAGATTTAAGAACACCAGTGTAGTTGCACCTAGCGCAGCTTAAAACCCTTTGGGTCTGTTTAAATAGGATCTATAATTATGCATCATGTCTGTTGCCAGAGCTATTATAATGGACTTTCTTCAGAGTTGAAGTCTACTGCCGGTTATTAAAGGCTTAGTACAACTTAAATCAGCAGTTTGAAGTTGTGTAGTTTCTCACATCCCTATCACCAATCTAATATTTGGGTATATATGTTTTGTATATTCAAGGCTTCTTTTATGAAGTTCATTATAGAAATGAATTTGAATTCATGTTGCAGAAATTAAATAAAGCAGGAAGTAGTTTCAGTATAAACTCTGTATATTATAATGGTTAACTGCTGGTTTCTTACTCTTTATCTCCATCAGGTTTGTTGACTTGTGTAAACTGTATGAAAGTGAAATGGGGCGCTGTCCTTCAGGTCATCTCCACCGTAGCAAAGGTCCTGGCTCTCATCATCATCATTATTACCGGCCTGGTTAAGCTGGCACAAGGTAATGTGTCCTAGGAACTCTCTCTGTGAAATGTGTTACTCCAGTGCAGTATATCTACTATTAACTCTTATTTTGTTCATGTTTTGGACCTTGTTTTGTTTTTGTTGTTGCTTTTTGTTTGTTTTATAATTATTAATTAATTTAATTATCATTACTAAATTACATCAAGCAGTTACCTGCTAAAACTGTATGTAAAGTGGCTACAGTATTAGTAATTGTAATAATATGAGGAAAATTAGGGCAACAGCTGAATAAGATGTTTAGAAAACATGTTGTGCTTTTGGATGTTTGGGCATCCTGTGTTCTGTAGAGGATGATGAAAGCAAAGCAGTTGGATGCTTCTTCCTGTGTTAATGTACCAATCCTTTGTCGGCTTAGGTTTTGACCAGAACTTTCAGGATTCATTCAAAAACTCCAAGCTGGACCCTGGTAACATGGCCTTGGCCCTTTATTCAGCACTGTACTCCTACTCTGGCTGGGACACACTCAACTTCATCACAGAGGAGATTAGGAACCCAGAGAGGTACAAAGTGTGACATTTCAGAGAGATTCCACAATGAGTGCAGTTTTTTTTTTTTTTTCACCCCTGCTGTCTGCTTTACTTGACTACTGTAAATCTATATTTGCTTTAATTCATTATCTCACTCTGTATCACTGCTGCACAGCTACAGCTGAGAGCATGATGTGAATGTGAACCACTTTTCTCATTTTCCACTGTAGGAATCTACCCTTGTCCATCGCCATTTCCATGCCCCTCGTTACAATAATCTACATCTTGACCAATGTGGCGTACTACGTTGTCATGGATGTAGACAAAGTGCTCAGCAGTGAAGCCGTCGCTGTGGTGAGTGCCTGAAGGTCATCAACTTAGTGTGGCCTCCTTGAGCAGTAAAGAAGTGTGTGTGTGTGTGTGTGTGTACTAATATCCCTATTAGAACAAAACAGGACTTACTCAAATTGACAGCATCTGCTCAGCCTCATAAGAGCAGCAGGGTTTGATGTCTCCTTCCTGTCATTGCTGCCAGTCTGGCTGGCAGCCACTAGCACTGCTATCTGGTTTGGTACTCCCTTTGGGTTTATCTGTGACTGTAGGAGTCCAGATGACAGCAGGAACCTCCTTCAACTAAAGAGGTTAGCGTCCCGCACAGGGACATGGGGAAGTTAATGATGTGATATTAGTGCATTGGAGGCGGAAGAGTTGTGCCCAGTCTGGTTGTCAGTACTATTTGATTAGCTTTTAGAGTATTTAGTGTAATCACTTGCTAGTGGCCCAACTGTCCACAAACTGTTGGCTCAGTGCTCTTAAATGTGAGCAGGGAGGTGGAGCAAATATTTTTCTTGTTTATGTGACTGGGTTTATTAGATTTTTAGAGCCATGATGCCAAACCTTGTATTTTTTGGGTCATTGCACACAGCTTAGACTTTACACTAACGCACTGGCATTCTTTGAACTTAAGACACTGTGTTAAAAAAATATTTATCACTGATTGTTCACCCACCTGGAGAGTTGAGCTCAGGCTGCTGATCATGTGTAGACAAACTATTAACATTTGTCAGTGTTATTAGAAGCACGTTCCTAAAATATGGAAACCTACCCCCTATCTTACAGCTGCTAAAATTTATAGCATCACTTTTGCGTCTGTGTTGATTTAATTTGTGCCTTCTGTGATTCCCTATATTGCTTTCAATCATAACTGTCGGAGAGTAAAAGCAGGTGGCCACAGAGGACGGTTTTTAAAAAAGGAAGTAAACTGCTAGTGTTTTTTTTTTTTGTTTGTTTGTTTTAAGGAGCTGCACTTTTCCCTATTACCTCATAAGGCAAAATGCAGACAACTCCTGGGGGTGTTTTACCAACACTAGATATTGGCAGTTGATGTCGATTTCAGTCCAGAATCGATTCAGTTTTACTAGCTTAGTTTTACTTTTGATGATCCAGTTGCATCAGGCTGTAAAGTCTCAGGCTGGCTACTATAGTAAACTGTAGTCTATGTTTGAACTTGTGCTAATCTTTTTGCAAACACTGTAATAAATCTGTTTTGGCCATGTCCAACATGCCACGTTCGATACAGCCACATCTGAAGCACTGCGTACACATAATGTAGCACAAATGTGCGTTTACTGAGAAAAGGCAAAAATGCAAAATAAAATATTGATTCATTACATTTTGCTTAATCACTTCTTTTACATATTGATATCAGCAAGGTGACACAATGTTTAGCACTATCACCTCAGCGCTATTTCTGGGTTCGAGCCCCGGCTGACCTAGTGCCTGCACGGGTTCTCTCCAGGTACTCCGGCTTTCTCCCACAGCACAGACATGCAGCTTATTTTGAACTGCCCCTAAGAGTGAGTGTGGTTGTGTGTGGTAGACTGGAGATCTGTCCAGGGTAGACCCCTCCTCTCGCCCAATGTCAGCTGGGATTGGCTCCAGTAACCCTCTTCAGGATAAGCGGTGTAGATAATGGAGATCAGTTATTCAGATAACTCTTGGCACAGTATAAGTCACATTATTAGTTACCCCAAAATTTAATTTGTGTTTTGTGTTTTTACAAATTGAGATTCTATATGTATTGGTTTTGTGTTTGTTTGCTTATTTGCCAACTCCCTCATCCTGTGTCTTAACAATGCCCATCAATGACTATGAGCAGTCAACACCTTGTTGAATGTGTCATCAGACATTTGCAGATGAGGTTTTGGGCTGGGCTCGCTGGCTGATCCCTCTGTCTGTGGCCATTTCCTGCTATGGGAGCCTGAACTCGTCCATCATTGCTGCCTCCAGGTCTGCAAACACAACTGACACAGTCTGATCCATGTCAGCTTTTTTTTTTTTAAGTGCAGATTTGCCTCCTTATTTTGCTCTGTAGTCTACAAAAGCCTGTTTCTGTCACTAATGTTCTGAATGTTAAAATGTAAGAGCAGCATGGAGATCTTTTCTCATACTTGCAACGTTTTTCCACTGCAGGTTGTTTTTTGTTGGCTCCAGAGAAGGCCACCTACCTAATGTCCTGTGTATGATCCACATTGAGCGTTTCACTCCAATTCCTGCCCTACTTTTCAATGTAAGTATCTTATATTTTGGTGGACTTTTAAAGCACGTTTGTTACTAAACTCAAATATTGTTTTGTATGGTTGGTCTTCTCTTCACAGGGTGCCATGTCGCTGTTGTACCTGTCTGTGCCTGACGTTTTCCGGTTGATCAACTACTTCAGTTTTAACTACTGGTTGTTCATTGGCCTGTCAATAGCCAGTCTGATCTATCTTCGATTCAAAGCTCCTGATCTTCACCGACCTGTTAAGGTAAAGATGAGCAGGAGTGCTAATGGACATTTTAAAGGAGAGCAGTGGCTCTGCCTTCCAGGAAGACTTTGACCTGTCCTAACATCAGTGCTCTACTTTTTTTTTTTTTTTTTTTTCTAGGTTTCGCAGTTGAGAGCAGGGTTGCTTTGTGTTGTTTCTACAGGAAACATTTTGTCAATCTGTGTTGGTACAAATATTGTGTAGTTTATTAAGTATTTGAACATAATTGACCTACACAAACCACTTACAAAGGGTCATTCAGCGAGTTTGCTCTTATTGTGTAGCAAGAAAGCTTCAGTTTAAATGGCAAAAAATACATACTATTGTTATAAAAAAAAACCCTGAACTGCCACAATTTGGTTTTGAGCTCATCTGGACTAAATAAACATAGGTTGTAATAGGAATAGTTAGCTCTTAATGTTTAATTTCAGAAGCTGTTTTTTGGCAGCATATTCTCAAGTCTTGGGTGTTTGAGTTTTGTTCAAAACTTAAGCACATTCCCAAAGAAGCCAGTCTTTTTCAAAACATTCCCTGGCCTGCATGCACCCAGGCAGTCTAAGGCCCCAAACATGGTCCATGCAAGTATGCAAACACAGGTGCTTCTAGATAGATAAGATCAGTTTTATGCATTGGTGAGTTCGTGAGTTCTGAAAACTTAACACAAGCAGCTAGGGCTGCTAGAGCATGTAACAACCAGAGGTAGCTGACTGCTTCTGTTTGGGTCACTACTCAACAGTCGAGCTGAGCTGTGCCACCTCTTCATTGAGGCTGGAATCACATCTTCTGTGTTTGCTTCTTTCTTTTTTTTTTTTTTTTTTTAAACCCCCCAAAAAAAGAGGAAAAAAAATGTCTCATGATGATAAATGATCATTACATGCTTGCAAAGGAGTAGAAAGAAGTAATACTTATCTAGTTCTACCCCTGATAATCCAAACTATGATTAACCCAACTCAAGTGTTAAGCTAAACAGCTACACTGGTTAAATTCCCGCGGCCCCGAATCACTGCATTCCTTCTAACCAGAAATCACAATTACAGAATTAATAACCAAATTACATGCAATAAATTATTCATATCCCACCCATAAATATGCCAATAATATCATGATAATATCATTACACTTCCTGTATCCAATACCCAGCTATGCAGACCTTTTTATATTTGTTCTTAAATTGTTTTACACTTGTACATTGTTTTAAATCATCACCCAATCTATTCCATAATTTTACACCACTCACAGATATACAAAAACTTTTCCTAGTTGTACGTATAACCTGAGTTTTTAAATTTAG